GGTTCTTCGGGGGAGGGTCATTTTAGTTTTAGTAATTGTTTGTTGGGCTTGTTTGCTTTGTAGTTTGTATTTTCATAGTTTTTTAGTTTGTTTTTCGTTTTGGTTCAGAGATGATTACAGGCTAGGCACTGTGCAGTGGTTATGTTTGTCATTCTCTTTTATTTTCGTTTGTGGAGTTCTCTAGGCCGCCATGTGCGTGTCCTCTCAGTTTTCTATTCCAGTTGGTTTAGTAGGGTGTTTTTGGTTTGGGCCGTTGGCCCCGGTCTCATTACCCTGTTAGGGCCTTAGAATTACCCTGTTGGGGTCTTGTAATCTGTTCTTTTGCACATTTGTGCTTTTTATATTACTTCTATTGTTTCGGGGAAAAAAAAAAAGGCTACAAAGGGTGCTAATAAGTTAATCCCATTTTTGGGACTCATTAAACACTAAAAACACACTTCTGACCACATAAATAAGGTTACATAATGTTCTAATGACCTTTTAATTTCTAAGACAACTTAAGTGACATTTTGATCTCACAAATGCTAAAAATAGACTAAATAAATGATACTCCAATTGGTCTTCATGACATGGACGAAAGTAAGTGTTCAATCCATGGATTAATCTTTATGCGAACAATCTGGCCCATCTTCAATCGGGACTCCTTCCGTCTTCTCTTGAAATTCAACAAGAAAACACTCAAGGCTTCTTTCTTTTTACTAGCCATTTCCCTCATGATCGATCCCGCATTTATTTTTAACAAACCCATCTTACTTTGAACGGAGAGTTTCGACCGAACCCCGTCAGTCGCGTTGGAAATCGCTCCCCTAAGCCGCATAAAAACCCCCATCGCCGAAACCCTCTATCATACGGTGCTATCGGTGCTCGTCACCGGCGAATTCCTCGCCCAACATATCGTCGTGACCATGGCTCTCTAAAATAGTCGCTGATATGTGTCGTGGCTCGCGCTACCCGTGTTCATCCTCAAAACCCATGCACCTTTAGAGGTTGCGAAAAAGCATGATGCTGGTAGCTTCATTCGCGACGTTGTTGCTCGCCGTTGAAGTATGTGCCCTCATGCTGCAGGCTCAGTCGCGACGCTGATGCTTGTCGTCTTCATCGCCGGGCGGCCGTTGTGGCGATCACCAGCATGGCGCCCCACTTGGACCACGTATGCCGCTAAATCCCCCGCGCACGCCCCTATCACCGACGTCACAATAAATTTTCTTTTCCCGAACAATTGTATTGAGCATCATACGCAAATCGTCGATCCCTATTGAAGTCGATCTTTGAAGGTTGCATCACGTTGTTCGTTTGCTGCATATTGTCGTCGCGACGACATCGCGAATAGTACTGACTTCTGATACCAACTGATGTTGGGGAAGCCTATGAGTGAGAAGGATAAAACGAGGGGACCTAAGAGTTGTATGGTAAGAGGGGACAATCCTACCATGGATGATAAGTGTATCTCGCTAAGGAGTTTAAGATTTTAGAGACGTGTTAATTAAGCTAGGAAATAATGTATGTCAAGAACTCTTTCCTAGCAAGGAGTCTACTTGAGCAATAAGACAACCCAGTTATATAAGATTTTACCAGGCTCGGTTTTTACATAACACATTATTATGCCTTTATAGGGTTGATATCGGTTTGGTTAAACCAAACCGACACCGAAACGATTATTTCGGTAACAACAAAATATGAAGCCGTTACCAAATTGATTGTAATCGACAACCTAATTTCGGTTATTGAAAACTCAATTCGGTAACGATTTCTTACAGAAAAAAATGAAAAACCGAAATTCACAAATAATAATGGAACTTGATTAAGTCCCAACATTCATCCACTATGTTGCAACATAATTAAGTCTAACAACCCAATAATAACAACATTCCAACATTCATCCACAAATAATGCCAACAACATTCATTTACCACATTCATTTCATTTTTTTTAATTCCTTCTTAGTTTGGCACGGTTCGATTCGGTTCGGTAAAATTGAACCAATACTAAGTTTGTAACCGATAATTGGTTATCGTTACTATGAGTCGGTACAATTCAATTTATGTTCTCGTCTGTTCGGTTCGAATTTCGATCAAGAAATGTCCGCCCTATGCCTTTACATACATTCTTCAGCATAGTCGAGAGCGAGATTCTGACTAGAGCGTCGGAGATTTTTTCTGCCAAGACCCTCTCCAGCGTGTTTTGCAGGTCACTAGAGCTCAAGGCGAATAACGCGTCTTGACTCAGTTCCAAAGCAATTTATGTTTTTATCATAGTGATGTATAAAAAACCTAATTTATATTTAAATCACTTTCATAAATAATAAAAAAAAAATATACGGGCAAAAATTAAATATGTAAATTCGTTATCTAAAGTCTTTGTTAAAACTTAAAACAAAAGACAGAGAAAAGAGAAAAGAGAAAACGAGTGGAAAACAGAAATGCAAATGCTGGACACTTCTTGATATTATTGTCAACCATATTAACATAATAACATATCAATCACCTTTATTTAATTTTATTACTATTCGATTATTAAATTAAATACATACATACATTGCCAAACATAACAATCTCTTCATTATCTCTCTCTCCAAAATTAAAATAAGTAAACTATACTAATATGGGTTGACTCAAGTGGTAAGCAGCTTGATACACTTTACCAAGGTATCGGGTTCGAATTCTTATGAATGCAGAAAACCCTTGTTTGGAGACTCACCCACCATTGTCAGGTGTGCCATCCGAATCGACCAACGGATTAGTTGTGGGCAACGCTTGGCTGGCTAAAAAAAAAAAATTAAGTAAACTATAAAGCTTTATTGACCAGAAATTCAATAAAAACTCGGAAAAACAACCTGTGTTCGTTCACAGACTGGAACAATTACAAACAAAAAAAGTCATCCTTCTCTATCTGCTCAGAGAGAGAGAGAGAGAGAGAGAGAGTTTTTGGAAATTTTTGCATTTTTCTTCACTGTAAGTCGCTGTCATTGTTTTCTGTTTTCCACATTTTCCGATAGCAATACCAGGGGAAAATTCACGCGTGGTAGCAGCCCACTTTAGTTAGCCGAGTTACCGGCGGAACACGGTGCCGGAAATGTGGAAGCTCCGGTCAGTTTTTGGCTTTTTCTGCTTTCTCCTGCTTTGCTCGTCGCCAGCTTTAGTTTCCGGCCAGCGATCTAGGAGAGGCGCTACCAGATGGCAGACGCTTAGCGGTAAGATCTCTCTCTCTCTCTCTCTTTTTCTTTTGGTGGTGTGGTTTGTTTGGTTATGCTGGGTGCTGTGTAGATCTTGACTTCGATTGTTATTCCTAGAAGGCGAGATGCATTGTCTTCTCATTTTTTTTTATTTTTTTCTGGGTTTTATGAATGTGGTCACATGTGAAATTTGTTCATCGATTTTCTGAAGTTGTATTGTAGTGAAAAGTGTAGATTTCAGAGGTCATGGGAACGAAATCTTCTTTTTCCGTGACAGTTCCTATGATTTCGCCCATTTTCTTCTACCTTTTACTTCTGTCTAACCTGAGAAATTAAAGCGGAGAGAGGTTTTCTATTTTCAGAAACTCAGGTTAACGTGTTCATATTTTCCATATATGATGTACTTCGTTCTACGATTAATTTTTAGTTCCTAAGATTTCTGATATAATTTTTGGCTGCTTTTCTGAGAAATTCATGCTATCTTCATTTTTGTTACTATTTTTTGTTCTTTCTTGGCATTTCTGAAACAAGAGCATAGCGATTCGGAGGGAAGTGGCAATGATCTGATATCGAGGCCCTTCGTCTCTTTGGAAAAATTATGATTCAGTATCATTCTTGATTCTAGAAGTACTAGACTACAAGCCTGAGCAAGTGCAAGAAGTTAAACCTTTCAGTTTCCTATTTCCAGGTGATCCTCCCCTTGTGTTAGCAAGAGGTGGATTTTCTGGAGTGTTCCCCGATTCCAGTACTCTTGCATATACACTTGCGGTGCAGATGAGTTTGCAAAATTCTCTCGTTTTATGTGATGTGAAGCTTACTAGAGACGGGGTTGGAATCTGCTTTCCCAGTATCATGCTACAAAACGCATCAGACGCTGATATGAAATATCCAAACAGGAGCAACACCTATGATGTCAATGGTGTCCAAATGGAAGGATATTTCACTTTGGATTTTGACTCCAGTGAACTTGCAAATGTAACGCGTAAGTTTGTTCAATGCTATAATGCCAATGCTCGAATTTTGTTATCTTGCAATCAGAGGTTCCTGTAAAGCCTTTCTTTCAAGATTTTGTAACCTACTTTTTGGACTGTGTAATGAACAAGTCTTTTCACTGCATTCTTGCTTACTGTTTTTTCTAATCAAAACAGTGAAGGAGGGGATTTTTTCTAGGCCACCCTATTTTGATGATGTTGGACTGCGAATTCTCACTCCGCAGTTGGTATATAACCCCCCATCAGAAGAACCAGCCGGATTATGGTTGAATATACAGGTATATGTTAGGGTTTGGTTATATGAACTACCCCTTACAGGTGTACCAAATATATCTTTCAGAATAATAGTATCTCCTTGGAGTTGTTTTTTTTTTGTTTATATTTTTGTTTTACAAATTGCTCCTTCAAGCAGGTACATACCAAGTACATATTTCAGAATGATAATATCTTCTTAAAGCTGTTTTTTGTTTTACAATTGCTCCTTCAAGATATATATGCTAGGTAAATGTAAATATTTGCAATGCTTTAAGTTAGGTATTTCGCAGTGATAACTAGAGATTATTTTGTTGTTAGACGGCGGAAGCTTCATGTAAAGCAGGCACGTAAGATAGACTTATTCTGAATTACTATATAGGGGTTGATTATTTATGGTAAATTTCTGGGAAGTGTCTGCAGTCCTCCTTAACTATTACCTGACGACACCTGACTACCTTTATTTTTTAATTCTAAATTTCATTTGTGCAGTATGACGCATTTTTCAGCCAGCATAATCTGAGCATGAGGTCATATGTTCTCAGTCTGTTCAGACCTTCCAGTGGTGTTGTTGTTAGTTTTATTTCATCGCCTGAAGTGGGCTTCTTGAGAAGCATCAGAAATCGAGTAGGCACAACAAGACTCGTCTTCCTGTTTCTGGGACCCACTGACACGGAGCCCACGACAAACCAAACATACAGCTCGTTTTTGAACAATCTCACAGCAATCAGAACCTTCGCGGACGGAATTATTGTTCCTAAAAATTACATATGGCCAGTGGACAACAGACAGTATTTACTCAACTACACCTCTCTCGTGGCAGATGCTCATAGAGCGGGTTTGGAGGTTTTTGCATCTGGGTTTGCGAATGATGCAAATTTACCTTATAATTACAGCTTTGACCCTGTTTCCGAGTATCTCTCCTTCATTGATAATGGTCAATTTTCTGTCGATGGTGTGCTTTCGGACTTCCCACTTACCCCATCTGCAACAATAGGTAAGGAAAAGAATGACCTCTCTTTTTTACAAACGAAAGAAGCAGTTGTTTTTTGCTTTTGTCATTAAAATTAAGGAGAAAGTGAAGCATGTATATGCTTTCAGATGTTGGTCACTGGTGTATTTTAAGAACTACTGAAGATGTCCGCATCAAAGAAAGAAATACATATTAATAAACTCTGTGGTGATATTTTTCCTGCAATCTATAATCTTAGAGTATCAACCATGCCTTTATTTCTACTGATGATGCTTTTATGGTCTTGAAAGTGGGATCTTAATATTTTGACATTTTTAACGATGTGTCCTCACTCCGCATGCTCTGCTGTAATGACTGGCTATTAAATTATTTATCTCCATTTGTAACAATTTGTTCAATCATTGATGTCGCAGATTGCTATTCTCACATGCGCAGAAACGACAGTATTATAGGTTAGCGACAACACTTGCACGAGCAGAGTTTGTTAGTTTCTTCAGTCATGCACGTTTCAACAGTGACCAATGCTGAGAAAATCCTTTTTTGCCTTTGTCTTTAATAATGCAGCAAATATTACAATTATCTCGAGTGAGGGAGCAAGTGGGGACTATCCCGGTTGTACGGATGTTGCGTACAGAAAAGCTGCATCAGATGGTGCAGATATACTCGACTGCCCTGTTCAAATGACGAGAGATGGAGTGCCTTTCTGTTTGGGATCGATCGATCTCAGGAACAGAACAAATGTTGCACAATCACCCCTCGCAAACCGGGCTACTGATAATCCGGATCTGCACATACAGGATGGAATTTTTACCTATAACCTCACGTGGAGTGAAATTCAGACCTTGAGACGTAAGTGAAGCTCGGGAACAACAGTTAGTATATTTTCATTTCTTTACCTCCTTTTAGTGGATCTTGTTCCACATTCTGACATTTGATGTATGAAGGCATGCTATTAATATCTGCAGTAATGCATCTTTTTTACTATGTTCAGCTGCTATTTCCAATCCATATGTGGACGGATATGCACTATACCGGAATCCAATTGCAAGAAATGATGGGAACTTGATGCAGCTATCCGATTTCTTGGCATTTGCAAACAATCAATCTTCCGTGTCTGGAATCCTTATCAGCATCGAGGTGAGTCTTTTGTTTACAATGGAAAAAACAGTTAGATTTCTTTATGTTAATTTACGAATAGTTGTCCACAAGTCCACATGGTAGGACCTTTTGTTTTTTTTACAATAACCCATCAAAAAAATTAATTCTTAAACAGACAAATATACCTTTTTTTTTTTTAAACATAAATTACCTATATTAATGGAAATTTACCAATTCATTTACCAAGTTTTACATAAAAGTTCGCAAAAATATTACCAAATGTTTTGCTGAGAGTTGGATAAACAACAAAAGCAAGTAACATAACAAAGGCTAAATTGCACTTTTAGTCCTGTCGGTTTAATGTGATAGCAAATTTAGTCCCAAGATGCCTTTTTGTCCTGTGATTTAGTATTTTGCTGCAATTTCAGTCCTAAAAAGGACTGAAATTGCATCAAAATATTAACTCACAAGATCAAAAAGGCGAAAAGTTCGAACCTTAGCACTAAAATTGCTATCGTGCTAACAGGAAAAAAAAAATGCATTTTTGCCCATGACAAATTATCTAAATTCATCAATTGATGCACCTAGTATCAATAAATAAACAAAAAAGAAATTAGTGTGTAACATAATCATAAAAAAATCCATATTATTTAAACATAATCCAACATTATTGATGTCCCCCTAGAATGCGGCATACCTAGCCGAGAACCAGGGGTTAGGCGTGACGGATGCTGTCCTGTCGGCCCTGAGTCTTGCTGGCTACAACAACCAGACATCCAAACGGGTTCTTATCGAGTCGAGCGACAGCTCAGTTCTGACAAACATCACGGCCGCGGGCGTGCCGTACGAGCTCGTATACGATGTAGACGAGGACGTGGGCGCCGTGCCCGACTCGACCATCTCAGAGATACAGCGCTTTGCCCAATCAGTAGTTGTGTCCAAGATCTCGGTTTTCCCGTCAGATGAGTTATTTGTGAAGGCAGAGACGAATGTGGTGGAAAGGCTGCAGCGGTTCAACCTCACGGTGTACGTGCGTCTCTTCCGTAACGAGTACCCATCCCAAGCCTGGGACTTCTTATCCGACCCTTACGTCGAGATCAACAATTACGTGGCAGCCAAAGGGATCAATGGCCTCATCACCGAATTCCCGGCAACTGCCAATAGATACAGAAGTAAGTTTTCTTCACAAATTCCCGGCTAACTGTTTTTCGGCATGCATTCATCATTTTTTAACTGTTATGAATTTGGGTGTACAGGGAACCGGTGTTTAGGGTACAATGTTTCTGATGCACCAGCGTATACGCAACCCGTCCCACCCGGTGGCCTTATTGGATTGATGTCCAACCAAAACCTTCCGCCAGCTGAGCCTCCACTCCCGGTACTCACAGATGTGACTGAGCCTCCTCTGCCTCCTGTGATCTTAAGGCCCCCGCCGGGGAACCCGCCTCCGGCCCAAGCTCCGGCCCCGCCCAACAGCCAGCCGAAGACACTTGTGGCCAGCACCAACACTCTCTTCGTTCTGCTTCTGCTTGTGGCCTTTGTGCTCTGATTCTATATTTATTTGTTGTGTTGTATTGCCATTGCTTGTCTGGAGCAAGCTAGCCGCAGTTTTACTGAGGGAGGGGTTCTTATGTACGTATTTTCTCCTATTCTTTGATGGTGGATTTTTTTTTTTTTTCGACTGGATTATTTATATCTACATTTGGGGCGGCTGTAGCAGGTGGGTGGGCTTTATATGAGAATGTTGGGTTTTTAGTTTTCCTTGTTTTCTTCTTTTGAATCATGTTTATGTTTGGTGCTGTAAATTTGTGTTTATCCTTCATTGTGATTTATTGTTGTGATTCAGTGTCCGAGAACTGACAACATTTTTTTTGGAACAATGGTGTTTATGTTTGTTCATGGATTCAAATAACTAAGATTGTCAAGCAATTTATAAATTCGATTTAGTCTTTGTGGAACTGTACTTAGCTAGACATGGTGTTTTATTTACCTAAGTTACAAACGTTTAATTAGTATATTGTTGGTCGCATTATCAAATGCTTCATTTCCACATAAGAATTTGGATATTCACTGTTGAGTTTCTCATTTCCACACAAGATTTTGGATATTCACTGTTGCGTGAAAACTCGGCTATTCCGGATCTTTCAAAGCCACCACGGTATATACGTTGATAAAAATATTCTATCCTTTCACACCCCACAATTCCCCTCCATTAAAAGCATAATTCTAACGAAGAGGGTTTAGCGCAGTACACCCCACAATTCCCCTCCATTAAAAGCATAATTCTAACGAAGAGGGTTTAGCGCACCCACAATTCCCCTCCATTAAAAGCATAATTCTAACGAAGAGGGTTTAGCGCAGTGGCGCATACCTCGCTCGGCGTATCCCATATCCCGAGTTCGAGTCACTGGGAAGGAAATTGGAGAACCAGTATTAATCCTTCTCTCTCTGTGTGACAAAAAAAAAAAAAAAAGAATAATTCTTGCAGCACTCTTTGAAGATCCCTTCCTTTTTCTAACAAGCCATCCCAAATTGAAGTAGACCTTGCACGAATTCCATTCTTACTCCGAATTTCATTAATGTTAATTTTGACAAAATCTCATCTACCAAGCACCAACATCAATATAACATTTTTTTAAGCCGCAACCTTTCACCTTTTGTAGATCAAAATTCTCTAAATATTGTCCCTGCCAACACTTATTTCTCATAGCCAAATGACTCCCAAGGCAGAATTAAGTGTTCGAGACAGCAAAATATTATTTTCCTTTTCCCTGATCGATAAAGATAGATGGATGAGCAAAACAGTGTTTGAAGTGCTAATCGATCAACCTATATCCATTCATAGGATTTGCATATTAAAAAGAAATGAAATAGTAAACTGCTCACCAATGAAAATGATAGCAACAGAGACGAGAGGTTAGAGGCTAAAGCAATTAATCAGCAAACAAAATACGGAAGCTTGGTTAATTGTACACGAAAACAAAATCTCACATACGCCACACTTGGTAACAGTCCAACATATCTCTAAAAGCTCAAGCAAAGTATTGTCCTGCTCATTGCAATGACAAAGAAAGCAACAGTTGTGCGGAAAAATGGAAAATTACGAGCAGCACCAAGTAATTTAAGAGGCCCCGGCACTCTTCCCTTTCTTCTTCTGGATTTTCTTCATGTAAAATTCCAACTCCTTGCCCTCCAGAATATAACTGTAATATTCAATTTACAAAACAGTAAGACACCAAAAGATGTCACAACGGCGCTTAGTGGTTTCTACAAAAGATATATTACATAATTGAACACCCTAAGCCATCCTAGTTAGAGAATAAGTCAATAATCACAAATTACATAAAGATATAAACACTGCCCTTCAAAACTAAGCAAATGGTTAATTATCATTCATCCTTAAAGAAAATGGCCAGCAATCGAAAGCACATATGATTTTAGCATTTTGCCCCAAATTATGCATATATGTAGCATACAGCAGGTTGCTGCGCAATCAGAAAATATCACATGTCCTATAGCACATGAAAGATAACCGAAAAATTTAGAGAAAATACGTACCCATCAGCACGCCCACACTGGCCTGGGCGGGAGGAGATTGCCGCCAACAAACGCCCACCACCAAATTGCTCCTCGATATGAGTGTCAATTTTACGGTCCTGTTGCCTCTTTTCAAGTTTTCTCAGAACATGCTTGCTCTTCTTAGCCTCTTCGACAGCAGTAGCCTCATTCTCCTAAGGTCCAGATACCAAAATAGAGTAAATATATATATATAAGATGGATAATTTACAAAATCAATAATCATATCTAATTACAAACAACTTTGTACAGACTTCAACATGTCTAGCCACTTGCTATCTAACCGTTATTTCCCCAACTTTTACAGTTGAGAGCAATATGTTAGCCCATTCACATGAAATGACATTTTATTCCTTATTGTTCGGAATGCTTGATGCTTCTACTTCTTTTTTTCCCAAAGAAACTCAAGACACAAACAACTAGTCATAGCACAATGAGCACCATGTAAACTCACTCAATTCACGATAAAAAAGAAATGCCATTAATATCATAACTCCAAAAAACCCAATCCACGCAGCAATTCAGAAGGAGAATGTCAAGACATCTAATCAAATATCAAATTGAAAAAAAGAAAAGGTGCATTATTAGATATAACCTCGCCTTCCTTCTTGGCAGCGGCCTTCTTCTTGCGACCAATGTCTACCCCATAATGCTGGAGGTACCACTGCTTGAAAGGCGCAGCATCAACTTGAATAATAGCACCCTTCACCAAAGTCTGGGTCCTAACCAGCTCATTGTTGGACGCATTATAAACGACGTCCAGAATACGAGTCTTCCTGGTTACAGCCTCACTGCCCCAAGAGAAGTTCCCTGTGTCCAGCCTCAATGCACGCCACTTCACATTACCTCCACGGACCCTCACCCTGCGGACAGTCTTGTTGCTCGACAACTTCGTGTTTGCTGATTGTCTTCCAAGCTCATACCTTATAAACACACAATCAAGTTTCAGTTCCAGAATAACAGAATAAGAAAACTACAATGTGGCGTAGTATGAATGCAGTGGAAATCGGATTTGACAACAATAACATATAAGATCCACATTTCTAGTTAGGCTGGTGGCAACTATGTCTCTATTTTGTGGTGTGGTAAGAAACTAAACATTGAACAAATTCAATTACACTGATATGTACACCAATGAAGATCGTGAACATAAAATCGAGTATCTGTTTTCCGATTCTTGAAAAATGAGCGCTTGATGAAAAAAAACAGATTTAGAGCAGAAGTAAGAACAATGTGCAGCCATTAACAAACAAGATTAAAAAGCAGAGAATCAAATTACTTTCTCTTCTTCCTCCAAGCCTTCTTCTTTCCTCCAGTCGCGCGCCTCTTGTGCATGGAATCCCGAGAAATACCTAGCCACAGACACCATTACTCCATAATCAGCTCCTCAACAAAACTTTAACGAAATCAAAAGGAAAATGGGAAACTATTCGGGGAAGATTTACCCATGGTTGCAGGCGGATGATCGTAGGGTTCCGACGAATCACCGGTCGAATGCAGAAACAGACGGCGGCGCAACACCACACAGCCAACACCGAGAATGAACTCGTTTCCGATGCTAGCGGGGACTTTATACAGCCTTGCTCAAAAACCCTACAGAAGGTAAATTACAGTTTCGCCCTCCCTTGTTTTGCTACTCAATTAGGTCATGTGGTCTTTTTATTAAATGCCCTTTCCGGGGCATAATGGCCACAATGTAAGAATAAATCTCTAATTGGCAAAAAAAAAATAATAATAATAATAAAAATATATATATATAAAAAGAATACTAAAATCAAAAGTTATTTAATAAATGTATCACATTTACAATTGAATTATTCCATCAATTTTGTAACTTATTTAAGAATTAACACATCTTAGCTTAATTTTTTGTATTTTAACAAAAAGATAATATACATGTGGAATTTTACATGCAATAATGATAATTGTTGTATGGGTATAATAAATAATATAACTATTTATATACTTTGAGCATTATATCTATATATATATAATTGTTAGCTAATGAGCATTTAATAAAACCTATTAAATTATACCTATGTGGCAAAATTTCATTTTCTCTCCAAAAACCGTTACTTTTTATTTATTTAACCTCTCATTTAATTATTAAATAATCAACACACTAATCACTTCAAAATACAAAAAATATTTTAAACTTTTGATTTACTTACAACTGACCATATAATGTGTTGATTATTTAACGTGTTTAGATGTTATTGTTGTGGTTACGATTAAATGAACTTCTTTTGAAAATAAAAAACGTATTTGAACTTCCTAAATAAATAATAAATAATTCACAAAAAAATACATACCAAAATATACATTACATCAAATATGATAAACACAATTTAAAAAAATATATTCCAGCTCTTTTAAATGTAAAATTGGTCTGGGAAAAGTGCAAGAAAAATTATTAATCATTATATGCATACAAATAATTCATAATACTTTATTTATATCTGTGCAAATGCACAGGTCAAATACTAGTTAATAATAATCATACCAGTACCACCAAAGTTTAAAATATATATATATATATATATATGAATTTCAAATGAACCACCTTATATACCATATAAATCAACTTTTTTAAGAGATTCGTCATGTAAATTATATTAATAATTAATTATATAATATAATCCCCTTCCCCTTATATATTAATCCAGAACGCGCTGAGCCTACGTGACTGCTTTTGGTGCTTCGGAATTCTATGTGGCAAAATTACATGCTTCGTTGTTAGTCTTGAGTAAATTTAATTTAATTTCAAACCAATAATAATTAGGTTCGAATTACCATAAATATGTTGATTATTTATGGTCATGTTACATGTATTAATTGTATTTTAATATCATTCCTTATTATAACTATTGAATTGTATATATATTTTAAAATTAATAAGTTTTGTATTTTTTATCAGTTTTACATATGTATATATCAAATTAATCTTCTTTGATGAGCTTCGATTTAACATCCATATTGTATGTTTAAAAAAAATAATTTATATTTATCTTTATAACAATAATAAAATTATTTTTAATATTAATTAGAAAAATAAAATTATTTATCAACTAATACATTTATATTTCAAGTAGTTATATAATATAAGTTATAAAACAAATACTACCTCCTTTTTAAAATAAGTGGCGTTTTGACTTTTTTGATTAATCC